AACACCAACCATTAGTGTAAAATTTGTAATCCCTTGGGGGAAAAAAAAGAAGCTTAAGAATACCTTTTCCGTACCTCAAAAGAAAGGATAACATACCACATGATATACGACCCTACTGATTTTTTCAAACTGCTAAAGGAATTTTAGATGCCATCTAGTAGTGCTGAACCACACCTGATTTAAAAACCAGGAATCAATCATGTAAATTCAGTTCTGCAAGTTAAGCCTGGGAAAACTTGATGGCTTCTTCTAGTTATGTCAGTGGGTTAATTAAAGCTTAATAAAATTCTTCACGTGGAATTAGGACAAGGTAGAAAACAAAATAATCCATTGCCATTAAAAGAATTAGCTCTTGGTTCTATATACGTCCACTGAGCTCAAATATTTAAGATTGCAGTCTCTTTTCAAAGGTTGCAGAATATAAACACAGTAGTCAATAATTACTAGCAACTGACAAGATAGCATCTGAGATTGAACTTGGCTCAGCCCAGAATGACAGCAGTCTTGAATATTGCTATTTTAGAATGTGAACATGGAGCTAGGAACTTTCACTTGCTCCTCTGAATACATTGAATGAGACAAAAAAAGGTGAAAACCAAAAGTAACCAGCTACATAGGTTGGATTTTACCAGATCACTACCTCTTCCAGTCTGCATCTAAAGCATAATAGCCCCTTCATCTCTACCACATGATGTCAGGGCACCCAAAACAGTGTAATTACACCAAATATATTCAGGTGAGAACAGGTCCAACCTGGAGCCCCCCTTTTGGGCACATCAGTGAGGCCAAAGTGATAAACACTGACATGGAGTTTCACCTGGAGGTAAATTAAATACATTCAATATCCCAAATACCTTGCTTGTTAGGGCAGCTTTCATTTAGAACACTGAAGGAGATCTGAAGCAAATCCTAATAAGCTTTTGCTGTGTGCTCACTACAACAGATGGTATTAATACTACTGTTTTCTTCAAGTGCTTTTATTTCAGGAATATTATAATGTTTTCTCAATTGAACCTTAAGTTTTATTTATAGAATGAGACTGACAGGTACCTGAAGAATAAAAATAGCAAGTCCCCAATTGGTAGATGAAGACAAGTGAATCGTGCCAAAGACCACACAGATCTAATTACCTCCACAAATGATAACTCAGGGCAATTCTTGAGTTGTTCCAAAAACACAGTTTTCTAGAATTCTGAAAATAGCTGGAACTGTGCAATGAAACATGAACAACAAATTTCAGATGAGCAGTCACACAGGTCTGACAGTATAGAGCAACTATAACAGTAGTCCATGTTTAACGAAAGTAGCTAGAAGAGAGGAGGAGTACAGAACTGGAGAGATAATGTAAGCACTAAGTAGCAATAAAAACACATGTTCAGAAATACACCCAGTTACAGATACTGTAGAAGAGGATGGATGGATGGATGGATGGATGGATGGATGGATGGATGGAGAGTATTGCAAAGAGACACTGAAAAACTAGTGTAGCAAAAAGACTAAACCAAGTAACAAAGCAGACTGGTAGAGACTTCATTTCCATCAAACAGAGAGAAGGCAATGGAAGGACTTGGAGGTCAAAGTACAAGCAGTAAATTCTTATGACTCTAGATAAACAGAGTTAGAAAGAACTTAAACATTTTGGGACAACTCTTGGTAATAAAAGATAGAGCTTATATTCTTAAAAGTAGTACAAACATAGAAAACAAATGGTTGGATGTTCAAACGAGACAGAACCATGCCGTAACAGAGGAATTAACTGGTGCTATCAAAGCAATGCTCACTATTTTGAAAGACTTGCCTGATTTTGCTTCAGGACAGACACTTGTTTCTGGAGACAGATGTTTTCTTCTTCGAGCTCAGTGTAGTCTTGCAGCAAACGCGCTTCTCGGAATTTATATTCCTTAATATCATCTCGCAGACGGGCCCTTTGGATCTCCACGTTCTGATTGACCTGGAAAAACAAGCAAATCCCGAAATGATGGTGATTTGGTCAGCTACAATTAAATTCCAAAATTTTATCTTTCCTTATCTGCACTAATCAAGTAGATTCTATTCAAACAGAAACTCTCCCCCCACCCCCCCATGAAATTACAGAAAACCAAGTCATTTACACAACAATTAAGATTTTCTTTTCTTGCTTCTCTTACAAATTCTCATCCTTGACTCAAAGAAAAGTTAATGAGCAAGAAGGGAAAGCAGTATTCACACGTATGTTGTCTCACTGGCTGTAAGCAACAGACAAAAAGTTTTCCCAATCAGAAATCAATCTGTTGAAACAAGAAGGGCCTTTTCACAAGAGAAAGACAGATTCATATGACTCCAGATGTTCTTATTTGGACATGTATTTGCTGCTGCTTTTCAACAGACCTTTTCTTTATACCCAGTGCAATAATTTGGAAATATGTTCTAATGAATCCTTTTGGAAAGAGACACTGAGTTGAAGCTCAAGTAAAAAAACAAAGTGAAAAATATGTTCTAAAACATAAGCAGAAATATCTTCAGAGATAGGCAAATAGGCAATATAGTTTCCTATAAAAATAGTATCCAGATATTTTAGCAGCCATACCTGTGAAGTGACAGGATGGTTTTCCAAACAGTTCTAAATCAGCTCAAAACAAATGCGAGCTCATGAAATAGGCAGCCTATCAATTCAGCTAGTTAGATTATGGTATCTTATTTCTGTTTTCATCTATCCAGCAGTCTAGCCAAGAAAGCTTCATCCTCTGGTATACAAACTCAGATTCCCTTAGTGTTCTCCACTTCTGGTTAGAAACAAGAATGTCAGCAATGAATAAAGTATGGTCTCAGTCCTCTTGCAAGTGTGTACAGAAAGCTAAGAGATAAAGGAAATGATTGTGGCAGGAGCATATGCCAGGACTTGAATCTGGCATGTTCTGAACACACACACAGAATCATCTCCAACTGTTAAGACCAATAAATTTAAATTATAGTTCCCTCACATGTCAGGGAGAGATTAGACTATATAAACTTGTCTGCTTATTTTTAGCAATGAGGAGACGACCACTACTTCCCAGCACACAGAGAAGCTAAAATAAACATTAATTGCTGAAATCAGACACTACAGTACAACAATGCAAATGAAAAGTTGCTACATGCCATATTCCATGTCTGAGCAAGTGTTGGCTCTAACTTTGCGCAAACCCAGGGCCACAGGGAAAGATGCACTGCGGGTAGCTGAAGGCTACAGGCTGACATGAATTCACATCATAACTTCTTCTCCTTAACAACTGCAATGCAGATCTCTTGCCTTTGGCAGAAACAGCCTCCAGCCAGATAATCCAAACTGTTTAACAGTTAGGATTGCAAAAGGCTCTTGCATCAAATTGAGCTTCATACAAATTAGGAGATCTTATCTGTAATTTTCCCCATGCCTGAGTAAGTGAAATGCAATGGAAGACCCCCAACAAAGCTACTGGCAAAGCTTCTCTCCCCACCATTCAGGTTGCTTTGCTCCTCTTCCTCCCTGGATGATCTAATCTTTGCAGAGGTCAATGCCTGGAGAAATCATTGGAGCTGGTCTTTTTTGGAGAAAGAATGGTTTCTGTCCAATCCTGCCTGTTTAATTCAGAGCAACAGTAAGAGCTCATTATTTAATGTGAAAGTATTGTCGTGCTCTGTCTAGCACAAGAAAAATCATTCTATTTCAGTGTGTACAGGAAGGCCAGATTTTAAAATAGCTGCCTTGTTTCCTGTCTGGGGAAGGAAGATATAACCTAGATTTATTGGCTGTTTAAGCAAGCTGTACATTCAGTTTGCTCTTAGCATTTTCTTGTCAAATAAATGTGCATGCTTACAAGCTGCAAGGTTAAATTGGGTGCCATGATATCTCATAGAACTGACCAAATGGCGGGATGTTTTCTGCAGGAAAGAGAAGCTACTACATCCTTCTTTGACCAGATTTTTCTATGACCCATACAGAAAGTGGTATTCATGTATTTTAAGACAGACACACATACATTGCACATGTTCTCACAGGTGGTGTTTTACAATTCCTTAAGTCTAGAAAAGGTGAGCTGACCTATGGATGAGTTTGAACCTTTCTGTGACTCTCATTGCTTCAGTGGCTTAGTGGCTTCTTCCTTCCTTCCTCCTCCGCCCTCAGCAACCCCTGAGCACAGGGGAGAAGAGGGAGCTGGAACACAAGGGCATGCCTGGCTAGGCTCTCAGCTATACCAAAAGTCATACCTCCACCAAAATATCATTACCACTGTGTGGAGAATTGATGGCCATAAAATCCCATTAAGTATTAATCTACCTGACAAAACCCCTCAACTTGTCAGCCTAGAGAACATTCCCGCTACACAGAAGCCTCCCATCAATCCTGCCCAGGAAAAGACTGTGATCGGAAAGTGATTTTGCCTGATCTAAAGGCCATAGACCACCCTGCTCCTGCTGCTAGAGATCTTGTCTTCAGCGTTTTCATCCTCTCAGCTTTGCCTCAGAATAGTTCTGGAAGGGGCCCCTCCAAGCTGCACCAGTGCTAGAAATAGCAGGGATCTCCTCAGGACCAGTTTGAATCCACCCTTGCCTGCATGTCAAAAACACAACTTCATCACTGCCAAAAGCCTGCTCCTCAGCACCTACTTTTCTAGTACACCCCAGGATATAAAGTTACATATAATTTGACCCTGAGAATTAAATTAATTGAGAAAAACATCTCAGGTAGCTGATTTCCTCCCTTGTTTGGGTACTGCACAACCTGACTGGAGTTCATCCTCCAGGTCACCACCCAGAGGCTGATCTTGCAAGCGAAGCTGTATCACTGGCATGGTTTCGGTCACCCTGAACTCCACCAGCTCATGAGGTCATGGGTCAGTTCAAGTTCCCCGCTGTAGTAAACATGCTCACACCTAATTTCACATGTCATTATCATCACCAAGAGTCAAAACTTAGTTTGCCCAAATTTATTACTAATTCTAGGATTAGATTTAATGTTTCATGCAATAAATATTCTAGATATGATCATTCCCTCTTGTGTCCTTCATGGGAAGGATTCACAAAAAAGGATGCAGACTCTTTGGTAGAAATACAGTGCAGTCAGAAAGGATGGCAACTCATACATATCCTGTTTCTGTAAGGAGAAGAAAAATCACAGAATCATAGAATCATTTAGGTTGGAAAAGACCCTTAAGATCAAATCCTACCATTAACCTAACACTACCAAGTCCACCAAAATAATCAATAAAACATCATCTCTTAGACAATTTATTAAATATCAGCATGAAAATTGGGAAGCCTAATCCTCAGACACTTACATAACTTAGTGCCTTCTTCAACACTTCTTTGAAGGAGGTGCTTCAGCTAATGTTTTTCTCAACTCTGCCTTCATACTCACAGCTGTCACTACAGAAAAGCCAGCCTCAAAGCTACATCACCTACCCCAGGTATCAATCGTGAAATTAAGAACTCAAAATATGGACCATAAAGCTTTTCTCTGTGCAAAAAGAAAATTTCGAGTCAATCACTAGACATTAACACAACTAACAAGTTACATTATTTAGGCTACAAAGACCAGCAGTTGCAAGTTGTATATGAAATTCACAACTGCCCATCTGATTTTAATTGCATTTCCTTTGCACATGTGAGGACTGGGGTCCTGTGTAATTAAGGGCTGGGATATAAGATACTCCTAGAACAGAGCCAAATTAAGATTGCATAAGAAACCAAAAATAATCTTCCCCTAGTTCTCAAGTTACAGGCTCTTAAATAATTTTCTTTATTCTAGATATAAACCAAAACTCTAATATTTGGGAGAAAAAAAAAAAAAAAAGCTTAAAAGTTATATTAGATTCAACTGTTTATATATGAACAAAAGGTTTCAAAACCTGTACTTTCACTACTGCAATAAGATCAGCTGTGCGACAAGGCTGTTTGCATTCCCTGGCAATGGGCAAATGCTTTTAGGGTGGAGAGGCAGACCAGCAGCACCTCCTGATGATGGCCTTCTCTCTTTCATCTTCCTCAGATGCAGGAGCTGCAAGAGCTCCTTGCTCTTACAATTTTGCCCACTCTGTTCTTACAGTAGAATAACTACAAAACAGTATTAAAACATTTAGTTATTTATTTATGCAAAGGAGAAATGCCGCAGTGGCCTGGCTCTGCTTTCTCATTCACAGGAGAAACTGCCTCCAGTCACACCTAAACCTATGTTATCATGTCTGCACATGTACTGGTGCACCATAAGATGCTCCTTTGAATGAGGAAAGCTTTACAAATAAAATGGCTCTAGGTACCATGGCTCAGGCAACTTCAAGTTGGGAAAAAAAGCAGTTTTATTTCCCATACAACCCCTGTATAAAATTCAGGCTATATCATGATACGCACACATATCCCACCCATTAAATGCCAGGAAACGAAAACAAGTCTGGTGGAGGCTGAGAGCCAGGCACAGCTATACCTATAGCTGTTTTCTATATATATAAAAACATATAACAACTACCACCCTGAACTTGTGTTTATGACATTTATTCAGCATTCAACTATTCCCACTGACATACGACAGTCACCGAGTTACTCAAATGTAACTATCATAGCTTTTATACTTCAATTCCATTTATGAACCACAGACTTCTCTCTCCAGCCCTACATAATAGAAATGCACCATCCTTTGGACAGAAATCTTTGTTTTTTCTAATTGTATCCAGCACCTGTGTCCTCTTCGCCAAACACTGCATGGCAAATGACTAAGAAAACAGTTCTTACAAGTGACAGAAAAATTAGCCTGCTCTCAGAAGTGTTTTATAACACATTCAAAAGAAATATTGCAAAAGACAGACCACACAACCAGTAGAGAAAGTCACTGTATGCATCAGACCGTATTTTCCAAAATTTATAGCAAGTGTTGTTGGTGTCTTGTTCACACAAGCCCACTGGAGAAAAATAAAGTAGATATTATGCTAAACTGTAGTTTGGACTCTTTTCCACTCTTCT